AATATTTATATTATGAAAAAAATAACTTATTTAAAATATTATTTTAATCTCTTACAAATTTCTTTTACTATTTCTTCAACATTCCTTTTTAATTCGTGTATCTAAAAATGTTGGTAGTTGATTTATTTCATGACCATGGTTTAACCAGGCTGTTTTTTAGACTATTATTTATTTATGGTAAAGCAACATAAAAGAAAAAAAAAACGAATATTCTAAGTACAAATAAGATACTTCAAAATTAATTGATAGATTTCAAAATAGCCCTTCAACTAAAACTCAAATTACATTTCTTTGTAATGAATAGAGTAAAGTGCAAAAAATCGATGACATTATGATTTTATTTTTTGTGACTTTGTGTATGTGTTAAATGGTTTTTAATGTTTGGTCGATATTTAACTTGATCTATACGTATACTCATCGGTTTATATTTTAACATAACTGCTTCCAACCACTTATGTTTAAAACCATCTTAACAACATGACTTATATGTGGCATCCGAATCCACTTCTTAGTCAATTTTATTTTTTATGAGTTCCAGCAACCTATTATTCTTTTTCTTTCACGTGTACTGCTAGAACATTCGAACATTAATTAAGTATCCGACTCAATTTTGAGTCCCTTCAGAAAATGAGTTAATATCAAAACAATCTTTTTTTTTTCAAAATGCTACACCAAATTCAGATTAACTTAATTTTAAGGCAGAAACGACATTTTGAGAAGAACTCCTTTATCAGGAGGGTTAAAAATCACGATTTATCAGTTCTTTGTGCAAAATTTTATTCTTTTTAAATTTTGTTGACTTTTTCGTAATTTATTTACTTCCAAGGTGGCTAGGGTTTTACCACCGAAGGACTCATTCATTGTTTCTTTGAAATCAAGTTTCTAATCATTAATAAATTGAGGGTTCCTCAAATCTGTCATTCTTCGGTTTTCTACGGAATCAACGAATTTTTAGTATTGTCTTCCTATTTTTTCCAAACACGTTTCGTTATACATAAGAATCTAAATTGATTACAACATTTTATATAATGCTCAAATAAATTGGTAGTTGACAAATTGAAGGTGGTAGGTGGTGAGTAGTGAATTTAAGATGATATGTCGTAAATTTAAAGTGGCATGTGGCAACTAAGTTTCTATTTTTTTCCTCCTATAATTACCCATTTACATCCAAAATCACCATGTTGTATATAAATCCATTGCATTGTCTCACAAATAACCTTAATGAAACACCATTATCGGTAAATCATGTTCATCCATCGATAACATGGTAATGGCATTTGGAATATCAATATTCACTACATTTAAACATATGTTAGGGAAAAAAGGCCTTTGTTAATTTCACATGATTAATATTTCCAAGCCAATCACGTTCAGTCCTGCTCGCTAAAGGTCCAATGACATATTCTAGATTTCTAGTTTGCTAAATTTTGTCCAAAATAAGATATTATATATGATTTACATGTCCACTATAACAAAACTTCTATTACTCTACTTCAACAAATCCTAGGCCGCAAACAATACCCATGATATGAATTTGGGATGACCTGACTAAGGGAAAGTTTATAACAACGACCGTATTAGTTGTGAATGTTGCTTGCATAAGTTCATGAGACATTGTTTCAACATCATCAGGAACTAGGTATTAGATTCAACACTATTTGTCATGCCCAGACAAAACGTTATAGGTTGGGTCTGGTGGTTTCCGTTCATAGCAACTACTTTGAACATTAAGCGTATATAGTCCCCTTTCAGAGGGACACTTCATATAAAGATCACTGGTAGCATGCATGCTTGTATGAACCTATAAATTCTTTGCAACATCAATTGTAACAAAGTTATTAACTAAAAACAAACAATTGTTATTTGGCAAAATGCTTCTTACCAAATATCCAATAGCAATAAAACATAATTGAAAATGATATATAACATATGTCCTGATATTGGTGAAATTTTCAGGGTTAGTTCTGTGAATGTTATGCAAGTAACAGGGAGGTTTATGAAGTTTTTTTTTTTTTTTTTTGTGATCACGACCTGAACAACTCATTTTCATATATTTTAAAACACAATTATGAAATTTTGGTGGTAAATGATAGAAAAGATGATTGAAAACATAAGATATGTACTTCAGATATTCTGAACTATGTGTCCGGAATGTACAAAGACAGTGTGGAATGCTTAAATATAGTCTGGAATGTAAGTCTGATGTTGACAACGTTAGTCCGAAATGTATGTTATTAGATTTTGAAATAATTTTACATCAGGTCTCATCAAAATCACACCAACTCCAATACAACCAAAACTACTCCGAAATGAAATGTTCAGAAGATAGTGGTTAGTTTTTAATTATTTTTTGTTTTAATAAAACCATTTATATGGGTTTTATGTACTTAATCGTTTTTATCTAGTCCAATAGCATGCAAACAAAAAAGGCGTGCTTGTAATACGACGACGTAAAAGAGAAACGACCCTCATGCCACGTCAATCTCCAGTGTCGCACGTGAGTTCACCCTATATTAGATCTAACGGTTATCAAACACACAACACTCTGTGCTTACACTCGAGATTGAAATTTTTGAGTCGGTAAATCAGAGCTTATGGGGAAGGTATTTCTGTTCAATGCATTTGATTGGCAGCTTTCATTTAATTGAACTTCATATTCATGCATTTGAATGCTGTTTGTTTGATTCAGGAAGTACAGAAATCAGAAGTAGAGCCAAAACTGGTCGCCGATGGTAAAGAGGAATCAAAGGAGCCATCTCTACCTCCGCCGATTGTTTTGAGAGTGTTCATGCATTGCGAAGGATGTGCTAGCAAACTCCGGCGATGTCTCAAAGGATTCGACGGTTTGTTATTTGAATCCGATCTTCAATTATCTATTTATTATTAATCTGAAGAAGTGGATTAATAATGTTCAACTGATAATGTGATTCGATCCAATGATATTTCAATTTTCAAAGGCCTCGATTGTTTGTTATTATATCTGGCTTTAATTTCTCTACTGCTTGCTCACTTGATAGATTGGATTAATTTTTTGAAAAATAATGTGATCCGATCAGGCGTTGAGGATGTTAAGACGGATTGTAAGACGCAAACGGTAGTAGTGAAGGGAGAAAAAGCAGATCCTTTGAAGGTTCTAGAACGGATTCAGAAGAAGATTCACCGGCAAGTTGAGCTTCTCTCTCCGGTACCGAAACCTCCGGCTGATCAGCCTAAAAAAGTCGAGGATAAAGAGGCGTCGAAACCTGAAGAGAAGAAAGAGGAGGTTTGGAAATTAATAGATTTGTTCTGATAATCTCAGTTTCACTGAATTCAGTTTATTTGATTAGGGTTTATATATAATATCAAAACACAGGCTCCTCCACAGGTGATTACGGTGGTTTTAAAAGTTCATATGCATTGTGAAGCTTGTGCACAAGAAATCAGAAAACGCATAATGAAGATGAAAGGTAATTTCTTTTTCAAATTCTCAACACAATTTTTGATCAGCTATGAATTCCCCCTTTCCGTAATCTGTAAATATTTTGAAAAAATATCTTTGATTTGAACTTTTAATTCACTGAATTTCGTTTGAACTTTAAAGTCCATTACATTAACGTTAGGCTCAATTCAAGTTTGAAATGAATCAAACGTTAATGTGCGGGTCGGACGTTTGGTAAGGATCGGGTTGGATTGGTTTATCAATGCCTTTTCTCTTTCGGTTAAAGTTTTATTATTAATTGATAAATTAAATGTCATCACAAAAACCAATATAGTTAGTATTCGTAATTTCGTATGATTATTTTGATATTTAAAAATTAAATTATATAGGGGTCTTATGAGAATATAAATATTTAATATGGCAAATATATTAAATATTTACCTATATCCATTTTTACCCACTTTAACCCGTTCATTTTGTAAACTAAGATTATAAATTTACTCATTTGATATTTGGAGATAGAATAGAGAGTTTGTCAAATTCATATATTTATAGATAAGTGCTCCAAAACTATGTATTTTTACCAAATTTGATTAAGAAAACCATGTGGAGTTGTCTATTAGGCCTGACAATCGTGTTGTGCTCGGGTTGGCGGGTCGCGGGTTAGCGGGTTAGCATGTCAAAATATACCAACCCAAACACAACCCATTTAATTATACAAGTCACGGGTTGACGGGTTTGGAAAATAAACTCATATATGACACGTCAACCCATTTATTTATACGGGTTCACATGTTGGGGAGTTTGAGGGTCAGATTTGGATTCGTATGTTCGTGAGTCACATTCCATAAATAAAATTGATAATTAACCATGAATAAATTCTTGATGCAAAAATATCCGAATTTTAGAAACTTAAATCTTAAACATCCAAATGAAAATTATAAACATTCATGGAAACATTTTCAAACTAAAACATTAATACAAATATAGATAAATTCAATCACAGGCGTTGACGTCGTTCGATAATGGTTCAATCGTTCATGTCGTCGTTTTTGTGGGATATTTAGATTATTTAGGGCAAACACCAAACACGTTGCAATGCAAATCAACAGATGGTTACCCACAAGTCAAATGGTCAATGATATTGGGTATCATATCCTAGTATAAAGTATAAAATGTATAGAGGATAATACTTAATACATTTAAAAAATATATAATTTTTTTTATTAGAGTTCTAAACGGGTTGGCGGGTCAACCCGTATATTTTTTGAGAAACCCATATATGACCTGTTTAATAAACAGGTTGACGCGTTGGCGGGTTGACAGGTTGAAAAACTCAACCCAAACCCGTTTATTTCGTGTAGTGTCGCGGGTTGTGTCGTGGATCGTGTCGAGAATTGTCAGACCTATTATCTATCTTTTGGTAGAAAAACCCTATATATCCTCATCAAAGTATTTTCAAGAGTTCAAAACTTCAAATAAATCAAAGTGACTGGATAGTGTAAAAAAGGTTTAAAAGTATTAAACTCTTTATTCACTTAGGGGATGTTTAGGATTTATTTTAGAATAACTTTTGGTTTTTAGCTTTTCCAAAAAATCAAAACAAGCCAAAAAAATGTTTGGATAATTCAAAAGTTCTTTTGAAAATGACCTTTAACATAGAAGAAAATGAAGGGTTTCTAAAAGTCATAAAAACCTAACTTTTTATGACTTTTTCTGTTTTATATGTAAAAATTAAACCAAAAGTCATTTTACTAATTTAAACACATTTTTTGTTAATCCAAACACATTTTTAAAGAACTTTTTTTGCAAAAATTCATTTACAAAAAGTCATTCAACAAACGTACTTTTGATGTTCAAAAGTAATCATAAACGCCCTTTATTATGTTTTGACATTGCTAATAATTATTAGTGTTTGGATTAGGGGTGTTCGCGGTGCGGTTTGGTGCGGTTTAGGGTTGAAACCGCACCGCACATACGGTTTGAGTTTTTTGGAAACCGCACCGCAAAAGCTCTAAACCGCATTATGCGGTGCGATTTCATGCGGACGGTTTGTGCGGTTTGTTTGCGGTTTATGCGGTTTGATAAGTTGTTCCAATTTATAACTTTTGTTGTAAATCATTCCATTTAAACACTTTCAAATTTTATTAATTATATTGCATACCCTTTAAAATGCATACATATTGCAAACAAAAAAACCACATAATCTTTTTCTAAGTTGTTGTGACTTATGAAATTGATATCATAATCTTTTAAGTCTTTAATTATCAAATTTAACCATCAGATATAGAAAAAAGTTATTCGACAGTATGAAGTATTTGGTGATTGGAAACTTTTGAT